CATATCAGTTTATTGTCTACATTTTAACATTATGTACTTGAAATACTGAACCCGGATATTTTATAGCAATTAGAAAACAAGAACAAGAGTAAAATTATGAATTTTCATGACCCTTTGTTTCAATGGTTATAATATGAACAGATAGAGCATACCAAATAGCTTACATTTGGGCACTTAAGATATTTATTTATTTATTTGTTTTTTATTTGGCCTACAGAAAATAAGGAGGTTGTTATCATGGTAATCATGTTTGATGACGTTAGGGGGCATTCTGATCAATACAACAGAGCATTCCAAAAATATGAAGTTCTAAGTTTTCAGGTGAGATCTGTTGTAGGTTTTAGTATCGACCTTTCATTGAGTCACTTTGTATACTCTCCTTGACCGCTCGTCTACGCGGTAGAGCTGTAGATTTCGGAGCTGGAGATCCGGGTTCGAATCCGTGTGATATCACAAAGTATTCCCCGAATGTTTAAGTTGAACGTACATTATAATACTGACAGCCAATCCCTTACCATGAATGGTGGATGGTAAGGTGCTACTTACTGGCTGTCTTCTCTCTGGTTAGTAGTCCAAAATTAGGGACTGCGGCAAATAGCCTTAGTAGCTTTACAATGAATACAAAATATAAATACTAGCTAAATAGATAAGAAAATATGTCAGCTTATGTGAGTTCGATGAATGCATGATATATTCTGAGCGTTAACAAACATATTCTTATACCACTTATATAAAGTGTGATGTAAAAATATGTATATAACTTTACTAAAAAAGTATGGCCGGATTTGGCTCTGTTGATCAAAAGGTCCAACGTTCGAGCCGCTTATACAAGTGAACAGATGTTGAGTATTATAATTGTAGCAGTATATTCTACAGAGGCGGTGGGTGTTGCCGAATGGTTACTTTCCATTCGCTTAGCAGTCCTAAATATAAAAGACAAGTGTTGTCATTTTCTTAGTGCAAAGCGACACAATGAATTATCTGCACTCAGTCCACAGCGGGGAATCAACCCTGGATTTTAGCGTTGTAAGTCCGTAAACACCGCTGACCCACCGGGAGACAAAATACGAGTGGAAAGGTGTGTATGTCTTGGATTTTAGGTCATTCTTATCATGGAAATGGTACCATTCAGATAATTTTAAGTTGGTCAGTAATCATGGGTTGTGGGAAAAGTTTGTGAGTACCTGGTACTGCCTACCATAGTGTTGTGTTTTGTTTGTTTCGAACATTCGCGCAGACCTATCTGTGCTAGGTTTCCCTAATTTTGAACTGATAGAACAGAGAGAAGGCAGTTAGCCAGCATTACCAGCCTCCAACTCTTGGGCTACTGTAAACGAATAGTGGGATTTACCGTTACTCTTGTAACGCACCTACGGCCCCAAACCGTGACAACTGGACCCCAATATTTATAGTCCGGCACACTAACCACTCGGTCACATCCAGCCCTCATTAATTAGGATATTTCTTGTGATATATTCTTTGTGACCGGCGCTGCATTACAAGAGTGACGGTCAAATCCCTCTCTTCGGTCTGACAAGAGTAACCAAAGAGTTGGTGGTGGGTGATGTTGATTAGTTGCTTTCCTTCTTGTTTATCACTTCAAAATTAGGGACAGCTAGCACATTTAATCCTTCAACAACTTTGCGCGAAATTCAGGAAACAAGTTCCAGATTAATTTCATTATGAATGCGATATCTGAAGGAATTGGTGGTATAACCAACTATGTCTGATGTATCCCAGCCAGCCCGATGAGCTCTGGTATTGGACGAAAGGCTTCGTAGGCACTGGATATAGCAGATGTAGTGTGGTTGACATATTATTGCATTATTCTCTTCTGCCACTCATAACTTATTATAAATTCTATTACGCCTGTCTTTACGCTGTTAGGGTTATTTGATGTTTGTTCTGCAATACAGGTATTTAGGAGTATTTTTGTGGGGGTTAGTAATTTGGCCCAAGGAGGAACTATGTCCTGTTTGCTTCTTCATTTGGACGACATATTATGCAGACATTCGTTCAGACATAGCAGACAGTAATTTATTATACAGAACTATAAGGAAAGCATACAGTCAGCATCAGCCGCTGCCCGAAGCGGTTACTTTTAACCCGGGACTGACTCCCAAGAGCTAAAGTGAAAGTGTAAAAAAATATTTGGTAGCCCCACGTCTCGAACCCGAGATCTTCTTATATACACTAAATTAAATTTGGTAGCCCCACGTCTCGAATCTGAGACCCTAATATTCACTAACTTACATTTGGTAGCCCCACGTCTTGAATCCAAGACCCTAATATTCACTAACTTACATTTGGTAGCCCCACGTCTCTAACCTGAGACCCTAATATTCACTAACTTACATTTGGTAGCCCCACGTCTCGAATCCAAGACCCTAATATTCACTAACTTACATTTGGTAGCCCACGTCTCGAATCTGAGACCCTAATATTCACTAACTTATATTTGGTAGCACCACGTCTCTAACCTGAGACCTTCGTATACATCAATCCAAACCAATAACGCTTTTATCAGTTTGTTTTGGACCAACAATGAAGAACCCATTCTTCTTATTTGTTGTTATCGATTTACTGCTTTAGTTTAAAAAAAAACGTTTTGTAAACATCAATAAAATCTACGTTGCAACTGGCTGGTAAATACAGTTACTTGACATATATAAATATAGTCATACTGAACATTTGTTTGTTTGTTGTTAAGCACAAACCTATACATTTGGCCATCTTTGCTGTATTCACCTCGGGTAACGTAACCAGATTTTTAGTGTTATAAGCCCTTAGACTTCCGCTGAGCCACTGGTAGGGTGGGGGTGTACAAAATATTAAATATATCACATAGAACGTTAAAAGAAGGCAGTCCAAGTTTTATTCTCGTGTTCTACAGAGAACATTTCGATAATTAAAAAATCTATGCAGGGACACGTAACGGATCGAGACCCTAATATCCATCCTCCTCCCCTCAACAAACACAGTCGTATTGGCTCAAAGATCAGTACATGCTTTGGTTAGCAGTGTTCGGGAATCATTTCTGCTGTTCTTCTAAACATTTGCTGACAGCTTTACTCTACATAGGCCTTATGTTGAGTACAGCATTTTACAGTTGGATGCAGAAATAAATCAAAGGGCATTCAAACCATTTAACTCCCGAAATAATGTTTTTAGAGCCAAAATACACTTTGAATTTATCAGTATGTTCCTTTCACACATTTTAACGCAAGAGAGTACAAGTTTTGAAAACTTGGGCTTCTTAGATAAAACAAGCTAATATCTAAACGTTATAATGGAATTTTGATTAATATAAACTAAATAAAAACAATAGCTTAATTATATGTATATATATCTAAAAGAGGAAGTTCATTATTTTACTTTATCAGTGAACACTGAATCTGGTGCATTTCGGTGACTTAGAAATTGTGTACGAACATGTTCGTTATTGTTAAGCTTTTGAAATCATTATTGATGCGTTATATTATAGTTATAATATTCTTATAAATAAAGCAAAGTAGCGAAGAATAATGGACTATTTGATGGATCAATGGACGTGATATTACAAAAAAAAAGCCTCTTTGAGATCCTAGAACTATCTTAAGTGTTATGCTTACATAACGATTTATCTTGTAATAGTAACATTTCAAAAATGAGATGGAGTCAACTTGGCACGAACTTAATTTCTTGGATTGCGAAGAAAGGGTTTTATAGTTGAAAGAGGGAGTAATAGCGTAGTAAAAACAGATTTATTTGAACTCGTTTGTAATCGTTTCTGGCTATAAAATCTCACATGATGAATCGCCCAAGAGTTTATCCACTCTTTCGTTATCCAGCTTTAACCGAAGTTTCTCAGTAATCAGGGTAATGCATTTCACTAAAACATATTTTTTTCTTACTGCTTTCAGATCCCTGCTAAACCATCCCGACGGGCTGATATTACCGCGATGGAAGTTAGTGACGCTCACCCACAACGTGATCGATACGGAGTATGCGCAGTACTGTCACTATACCAAGAGGTGTATCTGCATCGTCTAGAAACAGGGAAGTGTAACAAAGACTAGATTATCTCGCCGTTAGAGATTCTTACTCTCTTATGACTGGATCAAATCTCGAAAAACACAAGGTAAGCGTGCTTCATTTACTTAATTATAAAAGTTCGATAATCAGTAGCACGTTCATGTATTCTAACAACAGAATTACATACTGTGTTTTTAAAGAGCTTCTAACGTAGACAGTTGATAAGAAAAAAAAACGTTTATGTACACCGTCGTTGTTGATATTATCGTATAAAGCTGATCAACAAATCACCCACTTTGCAGTGTGTTTAAGAACTAAGATACCTACAATCAGTTGTTATTAGCAAGCCCAAGTCACAAATCAGTTGTTATTAGCAAACCCAAGTCACAAA